CTAGTATTTTATTTTGAAAAAGAAAAGATTGAAAATATTTCATAATATGTAATCTGATTCTATCTGCATCATTACTTATAGTAATTTGTAGAAAGATAATAAATATATTTTAATATATCATATAAGTATAAGAAGATAAAGTGGGAATTAATAGAATATAAGTGAATTATGTTGCATATAGAAAATAGTCAAATGAAGAATGAGTGATAATAGTAGATAGGAAGTATAAATTTTAGTAGTAGGCCGGGGAGGGGATTTATAGCTGGTCCCGAGCAGACAGAGCATCTGTTTTTGCCGGTGATGAGACTCAATTCCGGATCATTGTTCCTAAACTTCACCCCTGTGACCAACTAAGCTGCCCATGCAATCATGCAGGCTGCTTCCTGGTTTTATATGGCTAGAAATAAAGTAATCCTTACTGAAATAATTTGGATTAATATCAAACCTTTTGAATGCAACATCAAGTGACATTCTTCTTTTTTTTTTTTGGGTGCTCATCAAGTGATATTCTTTGAATTACATGTTAGGGTAATATATATGCCCGACTCTTTTCGAGTGAAGGCCAAATTAATTCTTGCAGTGGACATGACTTTATGAGTAGATAGCCCAAAGATACTCTTGGGTCAAACAAGCACTATAAATGCTTAATTTGGTTTTGGTTGATCTTTTTAATGGGTCGTTATATCGTGGACCGTGGTGCACATGCACCGCGGTAAAAAATGGCACCGTTTTTTAAAGTAAAGAAACGACATACTGTTACAGTTAACAGAGCGTGCATTTTTTGTGTATTAATTACCAATTGAAATACAATGTATTTAAACTGACACTGCGTCACGTATTATTTTTGTATTATCAAGTGAAACTGCAATTGAAATGAAATGAAATGAAACAGTAGTTGTGTTGAAACGAAATTGAGTGTATATATAAAATGAAACTGAATAACAATTTCACATATTTGAGTGTATATTACCCAGCGAAACTGTAGTTATATCAAAATGATACTGTAATTGTGTTGAAATGAAATTGCAGTGTATATAAAATGAAACTGAATAACATTTCACATATTTGAGTGTATATTGTGCAATGAAGCTGTAGTTATATCGAAATGATCATCTAGTTGTGTTTTAATGAAATTATAGTGTACATAAAATAAAATTAAATAACCTTTTTCACATATTTGAGTGTATAAATATCGAATGAAACTGTAGTTGTTTTGAACTGACACTGCAATGTATACAAAATGAAACTGAATAACAGAGTTACTTTTTGTGGAACGGCGCGAAAAGGGTGCCGTTTCTTTTATTAAACAAAACGACGTCGTTTTGAAGCTCGATGCATAATCGATTATGGACCGCGGTGCACAATATAATTTTCCATCTTTTAATAGGTTGTGTTACTTGTTTATGGACTATGGTGAAAGAGAAAGTATAGTAAACAAATTATATAAGTTAGCAATATGGGCTTGTCCTATACAATCATACAAAAATGGACCATATCAACCCTGTTGTTTTTGGCAAATTATGCTGTGCATCCGTATGCACCATGCATGGTGCATACGGATGCAAAAATGATGTCGTTTTAATAAAACGCGCTGTCTCCCTTTAAAAAAAAAAAAAAAAAATCAGGTTCGATTCCCAGCAACAACATATGAACTAAAATTTCATAATCGATGAACTATAATTCCATAATCTAATCTATGAACTAAAAATTACAGAATGAATGAACTAAAATTCCATAATCTATAAACTAAAATTTCAGAATCGATGAACTACAATTCCATAATCGATGAACTATAATTCCATAATCAATGAACTATAATTCCATAATCTATGAACTAAAATTCCAGAATGAATGAACAATATAATGTTGTTGCTGGGAATCGAACTTGAATTTTTTTTAAAGGGGAGACACGCGTTTTTTAATAAAACGGCGTTGTTTTGGCATCCGTATGCACCAGCATAACGATTGGTTGTTTTTGGCTATAATGAATTTTTTGTTGGCTTCATTAGGCCTTATCCAAAATATATAGAATGGTAAAAAATTATCTCTTATGTTATTTGGTTGATTTGAGAAAAAAGTTTATCATTTTGGTGCTGCAAAATCATGGTATGACTAATATTCATCTTATGTTATGTTATTTATTTATTTATTTATTTATGTTTAGGCTGATATCTTATAATCAAAGTTTTCACAACCAACCTGAAAATTGTCTATTAATTTCAAAATAAATCATTGGAATCTAAGCGTAAAATCTTTCGATACAAGCTTTAAAAATGTGAAGAAAACAAAGCCTAAGTCTATTATAGTTAGAAAACAGGTCAAAGAATGTTATAAAATGGTTAGGGTTCATCTAGAGATTGATCATTCGCAAAAATGTATAAGTCAAGGATGTGCACATGATAATTCCGCATTGTGACCCTAGTCGACAAAGGATCACAAGAAGTTAAACCAGTCTAGATTGTCATAATTGATTAGCTCAAACCAAGAAATTAAAGCAAATAATTATTGACTTGTAAAGTGGCCTTGTAAAGTTTTGCGACGGATTAATCAATTTGTCGCTATATAGCGACGGATTATTCTAAAATTCATCACTAAATTGCAACAATTACAATTTTTACAATTTTTGGAGTTAGCTCGCGAATAATCCGTTGCTATATTTTGTGCCAAAATCTGTCGCTAAGATTAGCTACGTATATAACGGCGAAAATATTCCGTCACAATATCCATTGCAAAACTCTCGCTAAATGTTCATTTACTCAAAAAAATTAAAATCCGTCGCTATAATATTGCTATTCTGTCGCTACATTAGCAAATAGCAACGAAAATTTTCTGTCACTCGTTTTTTTGTATAAGCATAATTGAGTTAAATTTCCGTCACTCCAGGCCAGCTGTCCCACCTAAAAGAGATGCCTACAATTCAGCAAGGGAATTAGTCACTATGTCCGACGGTAAAATCCTGGGTATATCCAAAAAATAATTGAGTTAAATTATCCTTAATTAGGTATAATTTTCACTCGTTTCAATAATTAAATAAAAGTGTGATAATTAAAACTCTTCTCTCAAAAGGTTGAATCACCAACCCTAAGTGATAATTAAAACTCGAACTTATATTTGGTAGTTGGTAGAAACCTCAGTCGATATATGCTCATATAGTACCATGTGAAAAATAAGATGGAATATTTTCTACTATTATAAAGGTACTGAAAATTTATGTGAATTTTGCATTCCATTTCTTGAAACATTTATTAGAGAACAAACCCCAAGGTCTTGGTTAAGTAACAAAAAACTTGAGATTAAAATTTGTCATGAATTTGAATCCTATTAGAAGTATGGTAGTTAGTGACTTAGTGGATTGCGAAATATTAAAGAGTCTCACATTGAAAATATAATAGAAAACATTTGAAATTATGAATTAGACTAGTTAATTGATTTGATTCAAAATTTTTAGTATGATTTAGTCGATCTGTATTATAGTCCAATTGAATGACATGACATCGAACCAATCTTCTTCTCTCAAAAAGTTGAATTCCCGATCCCAAGGGCCCCACGCTACGGCTTGCCAGAGCATTTTGAGAGGATATAAATCACGGTGACTCAAACAGGGCTAAATGACGGTGCGCACAAGGGATCTGCCCACTTTGGACATAATTCTCACACTGCCGATGCGCACAAGGAATCTGCCTACTTTGGACATAATCCTCACACTGGTGCCGAGATTCAAACCTTGATCTCTACTCCTAAATACTGTCCACTGAACCACTGATCTAAGCCCATGCGGGCCAACGGACCTATCTAAGAATATATCAGGATGTATACTCAAATTTTCTTGAAGAAGGAAATGAAAATGTTGAAACTCGAAGAATTTCTGAACGTAAAATCAACTTTAGAACTTGCATTGTATCTATAGCTTCTGGGATAAGAAAAAGAAAAAGAAAAAGAGAACAGTAGTTGCGTAGACACAAACCAATTTCTTTACTTGTGGAGAGTGAAGACAGGGCTACTGGAGGTTGGAAGAGGGGGGTGGGGTGGGGTCTAAAGTATAAACAGCCAAGAAAAGATGGGTAGGGCCCTAGCAGTCCAAAGGGTATGGGGGGGGGGGGGGGTGGGTTGGGTGTACTCATGACTCATGAGGTTGAAGTCTGAAAGGGTATCCAAAAATTGCAGAGCTTCTCTATTGAAAAGGACTGAGATTGGACTTGTTCTCTTGTCTTCTTCTTCTTCCTCTCTCCCTTTTACCATTTTCCCTGTTTTCTCATCATCTTCTTGCAGAACTCCCAAGGTCAGTTTTTTCCTTGGTGTGTAAAAGTTTGGGAAATTTTTACCTAACTACTTAATGGGATTCTAACTCTGGAAAATGATAAATGGACTTAAAGGAAATAAAATTCTCACGGTTGCCTTGTTTGGTAAAAAATTGGTCTATAAATTAATTTTGGCTTATTTGACCACTATTAATTGTTTGATTTAGTTAAAATATTATTGGTTAATTAGTTTTTTGCAACTCAAAAAGGCTAAAGTTCAAAAAGTTACTCCAAACAACTTTTTCAATTAGCTTATTGAGAAAAGAAATTATACCAAACAGCTATCAGCTAACAGTTAATTTACCAAACACTTTTCTACAATCAACTAATGTTATCAACTATTTATACCCTCTAATTAATACAATCAGCTAACAGCTAACAGCCATTTTACCAAACAAGGCCGGTACGTTTTGATTTGATTGGAGGAAAAATTATATTACATGTGTTTAGTAAATGACTGCTAGCTGATAACTGTTTAGCTGATTATGTTAGTGAGTTATAAAAAGTGTTTGGTAAATTAGCTGTTAGCTGATTATATACAAAATAATTTCTCAAAAAACTAATTGAAAAAGTTATTTTGAGTAACTTTTTTAAATTTCAGCATTTTGAAGCAATAAATTGTTACAAAAAACTAATTAATCAAATACTTATATTAATTATTTAACCAAATCAAAGAACTAATAATGGTTAATTGTAGCGTATTGCTTTAATGTGTTCATACTTCATAATCCCCATCAACTTCTCCCTTCCTACATAACACACACTCTCTCTCTGAGCTCTCTCCCCATATTTCCCTCTCTATATTCCCACGCTTATCACGTTACCATTCTTCTCAGCACAGCCTTCTTTAGTCAAAACCAGTGAAACTTCATTCTTTTTCCTCACACAAACTCTCTCCCTCTCTGATCAAACTTTCATCTTCAATAAAACTGCACCTCTATCACTGATCTTCTGAAGGAGAGGAGCAAGAAAGGCAGCCATGGATAGTGACAACAACATGAGTACAGTTAATACTAGTGTCTGGATTTCAAACACCGACCCTTCTGTCCACGGTAATATCAATCCTTTGCCCACTCTCTTCACCATATAATATATAAATACAATCTAACTATCAGCTTAGCTTTTTCTGAATGAATCTCTCGGCCAAGATTCGTTGGACAGAAGCCAGTAAAGGCTAAGTCCAACACCATGTGGACGGTAAAGGTCAAGTCTAGCATCATGTGACTGGCTAGGGATTATTGGCACTGTTGGAAATTATGGAATTTCCGACCACTTGAAAATGATCTTAAATCAAGTCGAAAGCCTTGTTTTGGATCACTTTTGATATCTGAAAAAACCTTTGTTGCTATTTCCGACCACTTTTTATTTTCGACTTGATTTAATATTACTTTCAGGTGGTAGTGTGGGCGGAGGCTAGTAAAGGGCCAAGTTCAGGACTCTGGCTCTCGAAAGTCGTATAAGGAAATAAAGTTACGTTTTTGCTACTAGTATAGCTTTTGTCGCAGTGATAAAGGGTTGATCTTGATTGTGTGTGAATGTAGAGGATTGTGGAGAGGAGATGATGAAGGGTGGGAATTGCAATGAGGAGTCATGTGAAGGTTGCTTCTACCAAGCGGAGAAGAAACGGAGACTTGCGGCTGAACAGGTGAGGTTTCTGGAGAGGAGTTTTGAAGTGGAGAAGAAGCTTGAGCCAGAGAGGAAGCTCCAATTGGCTAACCAACTTGGGCTGCAGCCAAGGCAAGTTGCCATTTGGTTCCAGAACAGGAGAGCCCGGAGCAAGACCAAACAGATTGAGAAGGACTATGATTCCCTCAAAGCTAGGTTTGATAAGCTCAAAGCTGATCATGATTCCCTCTCCAAACAGAATCAACATTTGAGAAATGAGGTAAAACCCAACCAAGATTCTAATCATTATGTTCTTGAAATCAAAGGCAATTTAGTCATTAATTATACTGATTATTTTTCAATTTAGTGCTAAAAGTTTTTTGGTGGGTCATGAACTTTGATGGTTTTATCTGATTGAGTTGTTGTCGGTGGTTAGAATCAATGACTAAATTAAAAAAAAAATTACTATAATTGATAACTAAATTGAGTAAAAATCAGGATAGCCTAAGATTATGATGCTTTCCTAACAAAGGGCTCAAGGAAAATTACTATAATATCCTAATATCCTAATAGAGAACTCAATTAGGTAAGACATTAAAACCCATGACCCGATTAAGTACAAAAAGATTTTTAGGATTAAATTGTGAAGAAAAAAAAAATCACTATAGTCAATAGCTAAATTGAGCATTAATTATTGTTTTGGAATGACGAGATAAACTAGAAGTCACTATCTGAGAGTGAGCAGATAGATAGGTTGTTCATAATTGACTAGCTTAAAGCAAAAAAGATTGAGATTTAAAATCGTAACATTGTACTTACGAGTTTATATTCTTAGCCATCTTGGCTTGCTTACCCGTATGTATTAACTCTTTTTGAATACTACTATTACAGGTTGTGTTGCTGACAGATAAGTTGCTTATTCAAGAACAGCATGAGGGGAACCCAAAACCAGAAACATATGATGCAACTGGACCTCTGAAACAGCCCTCCTGTAGTGCTGGTGCCAAAAAGGGAGAGAATTTTCCAATGGTGGTGAGCAATAAGCACGAAAATGGTAGCTCAGATTCTTCACATGTATTAGACTCTGACTTTTCTCAAGATAATAATGAAGATGATGATAGCCTGAGCAGGAGCCTTTTCCAACCATTCCTAAAGCTTGAACACCATGGGGATGGATTCCAATCATCATGCAATTTGGGATTTTCCCTTGAGGACCACACAACCTCTTCTTGGTTATGGCCCTAGCTAGCTAGCTTAGCTTGTTGCCACCTTTTACCACTATGTCTTTCTTTGGCTTTCTCAAAAATAACTTTTCACCTCTTAAGTTATTTGCTTTGTAAATTCTTCTTTAGTGTTTGGCTTTTTGAATTATATAAATTCTAATGAGATATCGGTGAACAAGTACTTAGTTACTATTTTTTTGAATCCTCAATGAGGAGGATCTCAACCTTGGAGCAAAAAGCAACCACCATGCATACATCAATGAAGCACATCCAACAATTTACCTCAGCTCTTGTCACACTTTTAAATCAAGAGTGATCGAGGAGTCTTCTGATTTAAGGTTTAAATTTAAGTATTTAGTTACTATTTTCTAATGCTAGTTATAACATACATGTGTAAAAAGAAAATGTCCTTTTAATTTGTTTGTTCAAAACAATATTGTTATTTAAATAAATTAAAAAATAATTTGGGAGAAACAAATAAGAAACCACTAGAGAACAATAATGAAACTTAGGGTGGATATGATGGTTCAAATATCTTGTAGTTGGCCTCACATTGTTTGACAATCAATTATTGAATTGTGTTAGTCGTTTTGACTAGCAAATTACATTAGTAGTTTAGGAAGAGATGTTTGATAAAATTAGATGTTTACTATTAGCGGATAATATGTTTAAAAAGAACATATAAATAATAATAATAATAATATTATTATTATTATTATTATTATTATTATTATTATTTAATAATAAAATAAAAGTTATAATAATACTAACAATAAGACGACGACGACGACAACCACAACAACAATAATAATAATAATAATCAACAAAACAAAACAAAAATAAGTAAATAAACAAACAAACAAAATAAAGGGGAGTCGTACATGATGCAGTGATCCCACATCGAAAATTGAATGGAAGAGTAGCATTAAGCTTTTCCTCTATAAGAGGGCTCAACACTTCTCTTCCAAATACTAGTTGTTAAGAAATTTCATATTTCATATTTTTAAAAATCAATTAATTAAATTATGAAATAGCATTTCTTTAAATAATGTGAAATTTGTAAACACATGATGTGAGCCAAATATCACGTTAAACATGTTCACTAAGTGGTTTCAATAATCTCACATTGTTAGGAATAAGTGTAAATAGATTTTGATGAGTTAAAATGTAATTTAAGATTAGAATTTAATATTCTAAAATTTTTAAAGTGTTATAAAGTTTGTTTTCAAGATTTTGTTCGTTGCATAAATTGCCTAAGCTAAGTGTTGGAGTACAATGAGAGTTCAACACATCAAAGCTTTCGAGCTGACATCATCATGAAGTCGCAAGCAGCAAAAGATTATAGTAGTAGAAGTCTACCTTTATAGTAAGATTATACATAGTAAGTGTTTGAAACCAACAAGGCTTTTTATTAACAGCATAAGTCTATAAGGTGACATGAGGCTTAAGATAACAACAACAAGGTTTCTCAATCTCTAGTGAGGGATTGAGAACAACAAGACTTTTGGCACACTATCTAAGGAGGATACATGCATTTTTAGAAAAGTATTTTGAAAGTCACAAAAAGTTAGATTTCAAAGAGAATTTGCAAGTAGTTAATGGATGTTATACTTAATTCCTTGTCAAATTTGAGAACATTATTTTAATGGCAAGTGGGCGATTCCAATTTGTTTTTCTCTAACAACAGACAGATTCAAAGTTCAACTATAAAAAGAAGGAATGCAAATGAGAAGAGACACAAAAGATATAGGCCCTGTTTGGTAAAAAATTGGCCTATAGGCCAATTTTAGCTTATTTGACCACTATTAATTATTTGATTTAGTTAAAATATCAATATAAATGTTTGGTTAATTAGCTTTTTGCAACTCCAAAAGGCTAAAATTAAAAAAGCTACTCCTAGCAACTTTTTCAATTAGCTTTTTGAGAAAAGAAATTATACCAAACAGCTATCAGCTAACAGCTAATTTACCAAACACTTTTATACAATCAGCTAATGTTATCAACTATTTATACCCTCTAATTAACACAATCAGCTAATAGCAAACAGATATCAGCTAACAGCCATTTTACCAAACAGGGCCATAGTGGTTAAGATATAGCATTAAAAAGCTCACATATGCCACCCATCAAGTTCACAAGGAACTCAAAGCAATTAAAGACTATCTAGTTCTATAGCCTCTTAATGGGGGGATAATTCAACATGTGCGTTGAAGTTATTGTGATTCTTTACCAAGGATAGATAAATGAAGAATAGAGGAGTCGTTTTGTGAAAACCTTATCAAAATCATGCAGTCGGTTTTGTTTGATTTAGTGTGGTTGTAAGTTGTAAACAATTAATAGTGAATTTCTTCTTGAACGATAGAAGAAGAGTAGAGCAGAAGAATTACATCATATTCGAATCCCAATAACATTCTTTTGTCTTTACTTTTACGCATTTTACTTTATTGCCATACTCTATAACTTTGTTAAATTTCACATATTTCTCAAAAATCTTTTATTCCGCTACACAAAATTGTTTTATCTAGTAAAAATTTCTTTTTGACCATATATAGTTAAGCATGAGGGAAGTGTTGAACATTTAACTTATGTAGTATCAAATATTTTAAGTATACAAATTCATTTGATCCTACCTAAATATTTCTTTTATTATAGAAAGCTCTTTTAAGTATATATACAAATTCATTTGATCCCACCTAAATATTTCTTTTATTATAGAAATGTATAATTTCAACGGAACGTCTCCCCAAACTTTTAAAATATTTCTTTTACCATCAAAGTCTTTCAATTCCAATTAGAAAAGGAGTTAGAAATTCCTTATTTCCTTTATATTTGAAACCGATATAACCGCGCGTTTGATTGGAAGGAATGAATTAGAGTGGAAATGAATTGTAATTCGGTGAGAAAAGAATAATGTGTGAATAAAGTAGGAATTCAAATTGCGTTGTTTGGTAGGGACAAATAGAATTATTGGAATCGAGAAGGAAATAAGTGGTATAAATATTAAAATACCCTTGTGTAATAATAATACGGAGTAGTAATAACAACCAAGGGTAGTAATGTCATTTCATATATTTTTCCTTTCTCAAATTCATTGAATTGCAATTCATGGGGTACCCCCATGAATTGCAATTCAACAAAAGGAGGGAATTGCAATTCCCTCCAACCAAACATGTAATTTAGGCATCCACTAAATTGCAATTCAACTACAGCTAAATTACAGTGAACCAAACGCCCTGTAAGTGTTTATGTACCATGGTTTTAATCCCCAAATTGAAGTAGCACCCTTGTGCAAGCATGCAAACTTCTTCCCCCAAAAGGGTGAATTCTCAATCTCAAGGGCGGGCTCTCATATCCCAACTTAAGGAGTATTTAGGAGGATGTAAATCAAAGTGACTCAATAACCTGACTCAACAAATATGGCCAAATCTCGGTGCAAGCTAAGAACACATGTAAACTGAAAATGGAGATTGAATCCCATCATCAAAGAAGGTAGAATTGAAAAGAGGGCATAGTTGCCTAATAAAGTCAATTATTTTTGAAAATTTAGTTGAAAAAGTGCAACTCAGATCACTACCCACGACTTTTTTGGCTAAAGATATCGACGTTTTGTTCCTAAGTTAAAAGCATTTTTAAAATTTTGGAACATATTCTGTTAATTTTTTTTAAACTAATTATTATAATATAATGGAGCCAAGTATTTTGTCATAATTTTTTTTTATAAAAAAAATATAAAGTTGGATTATGATAAGTGAGTCTAGTTTAACGGTCTAAGTTTTGAATTTATAAAAATATTTGGTTTACCTAATTCATATAACCAAATTAATTGAGGATACTATGAAATAATTCAAATAACTTTTTCTCAAAACATGCGTCAAGTAAGCTTCGCTTAGTGCGTGTCATTATGAGTAGAGGATTAGATATAAAATAGTATATGTTCTATATTTAGGATATCCCCAAAAGGGTGATTTTAGACCAGATTTTAAAAAATTAGAGTGAGGTGGAGGCAGTGGCGGAGCCACAATGTGGGCAGTGCGGTCAACTGCCCCCACTCACCTCTTCACATTAATATATATCATATGTAAAGATGACTATGTAATTCAGCAACTCAATTGGTTAAACTTTGTTTATGATATATGAAATGATATGGGTTCAAATCCTAGCTACAACACTTTAGTATATTTTAGTTCTACCCACCCTTTTTGTGAATCATTTAGCTAATGTAGTCCTCAATATTTTGCTATCAATATTTTTATAACATTTCAAAGTGTTTTAAAATTTCACCCTACCCAAGTACAGTTTTGGCTTCATTTCTAACTATCATATAGTCTATCATAAACATTTTATAATAGGTGTTTGAACAGTATTATAGGTGTTTGATATTTACGCCCCCACTCATGTAATTTTCTGGATCCGCCACTGGGTGGAGGAAAGAGAAGGGAGAGAGAAAAAGGGTAGGGTGGTCTTGCAAAAATAGAAATTTTGCAGAAGTAGTGGGTCCCACTATGGGAGAGAAAGATGTGTCTCACGTGTCTGAGGCGCAATTCTCGCGCTCAGGTAAATATATATATTTTTTGTTTTTTTTTTTATTTGCAAATTTCAGTTTTCTTTTTTTTTTCTCCCCTATTGAGGATGCCCTTAGATTTTTTTTTTCTCCCCTCAAAATCTTCACACTATTGAGGATGCCCTTAGATTATTTCTCAAACATTTTAAATTTAAAAAATATAAATCTAACCATCGGAGTTCAAACCTATATGATAGTTGGTAAATCTTAATCTTTAATTAACATGATGTTTGATTCGCGGACTAAACAGAAAATTAAATAGCTTTCAATACATAAAATGTATATTATTCTATTTGGTTCGTTTAAAACCATAGAATAAAATTTTATAAAATTGACTATTTCTCTTTACAATGAGAATAGTCATTCACAAGACACCTCATGGTATTATTTATTCTTGCATCATCAAGAATAACTAAATTTATTAAATACTAACATTTGTGGGTTTGAAGAATTGCAACTTTTGAGAGAGGCAACATAGGAAATTCATGGCAAGAAATGTTTTGTTTAGAAAGTATATACGAATTGTCACTTTAAACATATCAAACAATAAATCACATCACCTAAGCGACAAATATCAATGTAAAGTCAGATCAATGTATAATTAAAGAAATGAGTAATAATACATATGGCTTAATAGAAATCGTGGCGTTTCCTTTGCATCATCCGTCTCGCTCTTGCATGTCTTTTCATGTACTATGTTCCTTTATTTATTTACTTTAAATTTTATCCCTTGTCTTTTTTGGGTCATCTTTGAGTAGAAATGGGATTGGAGATGATGAGTTCATTATTGATCATGTTTTTATCCTATATTTAATTCTTTTATTTCCTAAAAACTGTGGAATTTGTGTCTAAAAGATCGAACTTTCATTTTAGTAGATAAATTTGATTTCTTTTTAAGATTATGAAAGATGAAAGATTTGTGAATGCGTTTTGTTAATATTTGATGACCGTCGTCACTAGCATACTTTTAGATGGATTATTTTAGCCACAACAAGAGTTGTGTTAAGATTTCAAGTCATTTTTTGTATAATCTCTACTTTTTACTATGAAAATATGGAAACTAGAGGGTTTTAATGCTTTGTGTGCTTAAATAATTTGGGATTGATGTATCACAATAGTATGGTAATTCCTAATTTTAATTGTTGTTTAATTTAAATGATCATAAGATTGACTTTTAGACTGGAATTCATGTTCGTATCATCTCAATTCCTTAGTTATGTGTTCTTCATTCCCAAATCCTATAGGTTGTTTAATTTGCTAGATAATACTCCCTAATTTGAATATTCTTATCTTCTCCTTAGTTAATGTGTATGTTTCAATGAGTTAATTTTCAAAATGGTCCTCCGACTATGACCTTTTCTCAAATTAGTCCATTGACTTTTAATTTCTCCAAAATGGTCCTCTGACTTTTGAATTTTAAGTCAAAATGTTCCTCTGTTAGCTTTGGCGTTAAGTTGATGTTAAAATGAAGGGTAAAATTGGAAATTTAGGTTTTGCACTCCAACTTAAAGCAATCTGTGATTCCTTTCAGTAGTCTACACACATATTTCTTCAAATTAAGTTTTTGCTCTCCTAAATCTGCAATCAAAATGTGGGATAATCAACTAGAAGGCTATAAATATTTGCCTTACACCGTTATAACTCAGTTACTATTTAATCCTATCATTGATGACTCCATCATTATTACCATACATTTATATCTATCATATCTTTTTTTTTTTTTGCCAACTACCATGTAGTGTGATGACATCGCGGTTACCATTACAAATGAGTGGTCATGAATATTAAAATCATGAAACTACATTGAACAGATACTACTTTGTTAAGAATCATGAGTATTTAAAAACAATCTTATCTTTTTTTCTATTATTTTAATTACCATGTTATTAAAATCATTATATAATTAATTTATTTGTTGACTACATTTTAATTAAATTTCTATAAATTGTAAATCATATGTGTGTATATAATACATATATTATTTGCGTATATGTAACTTAAATTATATTTTTTAATTATTTATATTCATCAACATTTTAAGACATAAATTTTTACAGACTACACATACAAAATGCTAATATAAATTTTATATACTAATACCAAATTAAATACTACACAAAATTAAATCATAAATAACTTAGATAAAATTTCATAAAATAGGACAGAATATTAAATTGAACCCAAAACCGGGGGATGGGGTGCCGGGGTGGGGTTCGTTGTTTATGTTTGGGAGCAATTGTGAAGGTGACATAAATGCATAGTGATAGGATCAGTGGCCAGTGGCTCTCTCTCTCTCTCATTGGCCACGTGCGTGCCATGTCTTGATGTCGGCATGAAAGAACATTCATCATGAAAGAATATAGTTAAATTAGTAGTGCAGTTATTTTATATTGTTTTTAGAATAAATTTTGGCAATCAATATTATATTTTGGAATCTTCATAGTTTCCTATTGTTCGTACCCTAAGCATGCATATTGTTAACTTAACACATCTTTATAAATCCGATCCTCATTATAATAAAATTTATTACTAAAAAAAATATATACATATATATATTAAAACTTGGCACAATAGGGAATAGCTATGTTGTGAGTGGTAAATGCAAGGACATTTAACATTTTCCTATAAAATAATACAATAATCATGTATAATATATAAGTAAACCTAAAAGTCAACTCCAACATACAAAAGAGTTTTTTACACTTTTAATCCCACGACTATAGTGGCACTGGCAGAATTGATTCACGACTTTTGAACCTTGCAATTTTAGTCCACGACTATTGATTGTTTTGCAAAAATGGTCCTTTCGGCCACTTTTCGGTCAAAATTTCACCGGAAAAAAAAAATCCATTTTTAGCCAGGTTAAAATTGACATTTTACTTATCTCAAAAAATTAAAAGAAAAAAATTGATATTTGACTACATACAATATTACTGGGCTACATACTACTGCCCCAGGCGGCAGAGTTCCTGGAGCAGGCAGGGCTGTCAGTAAGCGGCAGAGCGGCCGTGGCGTTCCCCGAGCTAGTTGGGTTATCCGACAGCAGCATTGGAGTGGTACATGTACTCCGCTGCCTGGGACAGTAGTATGTAGCCCAGTAATATTGTATGTAGTCAAATATCAATTTTTTTTCTTTTAATTTTTTGAGATAAGTAAAATGTCAATTTTTACCCGACTAAAAATAGAGAATTTTTTTTTTCCGGTGAAATTTTAACGGAAAAGTGGCCGGAAGGACCATTTTTGCAAAAAAATCAATAGTCGTGGACTAACATTGCAAGGTTCAAAAGTCGTGGATCAATTCTGCCAGTGCCACTATAGTCGTGGGACTAAAAGTGCAAAAAACTCACATACAAAATAACCTTACATTCTCGTAAGATCAAAATAACCCTATTACCAACCAAGTAATCTTACATTACATTCCGTGAACGAAACGCTCCTGGCTCCCTTAGAGTACAGACTATACAGAGTGTATACTTCTGCCAGTAACTTGGATCATAATTATGGAAACACTTAAGTTGAATAAATTAGAAAGCGGGGCAATAAAGTCTGTCCACTATTGAATTTTAACACTAGACTGTAGACCAGCTTGAACTTTGTTTGAGAAATGTGATTCCAGCCTACAGGTGGTTCAACAGTTTTTGAATGTTTACAAATATTGGATGAAAAAATAATAGTAATAATATAATGAAATGATAAAAGGTTTCTTGTATTGTATTGTACCTGGTTGCACATTTATAGTAAATGGTTTCGGGAGAATTGTAGGTGCGAGCATTGTTAAACATCCTCCTCACATCCGCAACAAACATGTCAAACGTGACATAGTACAGCTCTGACTCAACCCGCTTTGACATCGTTTTCAAATCTGTTATTGCCAGCCATGAAAACAAATACTTATATATTTGCAATTTAGCAAGGTAAAGAAACAACAGCAATATTAGTGGAGTGGAGACGACAGCTTCTAGATATGAATCTTGGCTTCATCACACAGGAAGGACATGCTAAAAATTCTAGACAGCTATAATTAGAAGGCAGATGAACCACCAGAAACCACCCTGTTTGCTACTTTGCAAACGTTTTTTCTTGTTCAGTAAGGTTACTGCAAAGTTGACTCTTATGAAAGCATTATAGTACAAAAGACCAAGACTTCATAGGCATGAAAGTTCAACACCAAATGCTCTTCAAGTTCAAAGTAAAAATGTAAGTTTCCTAACACTAACAACAAGGATCTTCTATTTGTCAGGGTTGCCGGTAAAAACAAGAGCAAAAGAGAAATGATAAACTCAGAGATTCTGTCAATCAGCCCATGTCCACGTGTAAGATAGCATCAAATTTCACTAGCCTAGGCTATATCCAAAAACCAAAGTACAAAGCCCACCTTAACAAAGCCCCAAAGTTCAACCCATAAGTACACTGGAATAGCAATGTTGAACAAGACACTCACAAAAAGGCCACTCTCAACTCAGCTCACCCATATATCTCAAAGTGAAGAACACAGATCCATGGGGTTCAAGATGTAGCTTGGTGGTAAACTATGCCCCTATTCAGGGAGTAGGCCTCAGGTTAAATCTCTCTTCCCCTGTCTACCACCAGATGTACCAAAAAATTATAATAGGAACACATAATAGGTACATGTTATCTCCTATCCCTCTTCCCCTGTCTACCACCAGATGTACCAAAAAAATATAATAGGTACATGTTATCGGGAAAATGAAAAGAGGAATAAATGATGTTGATTGTTATTACTCCATCTATTTCATACACTGGCCTCAGATTACAACTCAATATATATAGGCTAAAAAAAGGAGCTTTGAAAGAGACATGTTATCACCTATGAAACCATATGCCATAAGGCTGCAGAAGATATGGTGGGAGATATTTCCAACAAATGACATCAAATTCTTAAAGATGCCACACTACCAAAATAACAAGAACAATTTTAGAAACCAAGGAAACTGAATATACCCATTGCATCCTTGATGATCTCATAATAATCAGGGACATCCCGTGGATCGACTGGTTCCTTGAATGGCCAAGCATCAGGATGGTCATGCATAGCCTGCTCAAAATAGAGAGCATCACTAACAACGGGCAGCTATATCTGCATAGGGTTTGCATAATGGCAAAAAAAATATGGGGGCTCTCTCTTTTCTTTTTAGTTTTATTGTTAATACTATTAATCAAGCTATACAGACTCCAGAACATGCAAAAGATAAGACACCATGAAAAAATTTTGAGGGAAAGAATTTATGTTTGGTTTGCTCCTTATAGCAATCCTGACCATAAAGAAATCAGGGCAAATAACCAATCAATTTCCCTGAGGCATGCCTACTGTCAATCTTATTGAAGTCCTTACGCATAAGAGAATTTACTCTCTAAATGATTTTCAGTGACTACCTTAATTATAATCCCAAATAAAGAAACCACCTAAACAATTTAGGACGGAAACCTCAACTTCCATCAATAAAAACCTATAAAATAGAAAAGATATGGAGTAGTGGACAAATAAGAATATTAAGAGACTTACCTTTACAAGTGAGCGCATGAATGCTGTCAATGACTTCTGATCCGACAACGAGTTCATTGTTTTAAACCGAGAATAACCATATTGATCAATGGTCCACCCAGCTTCTCCTATTAAAATGGCCACATGGAGTTTTTATTAGGATCTAGAAGTGAGGGAAGTGCCAAGCATGCAGTCAATCCAAATCACAATTCTTCACTTTCAAAAGAAAGAAAGGGAACTAGATATGTTGAAGAATGTGCTGAACTTACTTAAACCAGCAATATCCTCCACCTTGAAGGCTTTTTTGGGAATACCTGCTTCCTTCTGAAAGAATCAATTCAAGTTCAGAGTCACTATCACCTAAATAAGAATAGTAAAGATCACTCAACATCAAATCTAAAAAGACCCCAAGAATAAAGATTGCCACTAACACATGCAAATAATATCATAAACCAGGGTTTAGTTTCTTCCCTTTTTCTGATTGTATAATCCAATACATGCCTGAAGAAAAGAGAGGCTTTTATCCCTATAGAATGTGACACTGCACTTTAGTCCCTTGTTACTGTTAAGCATATATAACCCTAGAGTTTAGCATTACACAGACACTTTTAGTCCAATAACACTATTGGTTTATGTTATGTTCTCACGTCACGGGCAAGAAAACATAAGGAAAAATGAATAGAGAATAACAGTTGGAAAAGAAAGAGAAGAAAATACTGGGTTTGCTTGAGACCCAAAACTCCCTTAGACCCTTATTGGGGTTAAATTTCTACTTCCATTATTCTAAATAATACTCCCTTTTTATAGGGTAAAATACAACTCATAGAATGGCTAAATAAGCTAAGTAATCTGCTGAAATCTTCCAATTTACTTCTAAATAATTAAACTACCTAAATTAATTCGAAGACTAGGAATAATAAGTTAAATAACTATTTAGTAATTTCTAAATAACTATTTATTAGTTTCTAAATAACTATTTAGTACTTTATTAATATCTAAACTATGTAATATAATAAAATCAGATTTCCTAAAAATCATGGTCCCAAGCATGTATCAGTTTACCTCTGTAACTTCATTTGCTTTTCTTTTTAACACAAATACCTGAAACTATAATAAGGCAACATTTTGGTTCCTAAATAAAAATCAAATCTCCACAAAACAAAGATTGAATCCACTCCAAATTATACAGAAATACATGGACTCATGGAGCAACAGATTTATTAGTAATAAATGGAATTGTTTGAAGATACTAAGCCCGGATGAGTGCATATACCTTGTGAAAATCAATTCCTTGGTAGACAATGTGACAATTTGAAAGTTCTCGTATCTTTTCATCAATTGCCTAGCATCATCAAATACAGCATAAAAGTAAATCCTAGTCATCGTAGTATTATTTATTCCAGGAAAATAAGTGGAATTCTCAACCACAATACCACATGGATCATTTTACCTGCCTCTGACGGCGTATCATGGTAGATAAATCAGTATAAGGAAGCTTTGGATCTATTTTGCATTCCATAAGTATTCCTCCATCGTAATCTTTAATGTACCTGGGAAATTAAGAATTGATAGAAAACCAGATGAACAATGGACTGGTAAGCAGCATCTTAATAACATCATGATGATAAGATAAAGCTCCAATATTTACTTTACAATGAGGATTACCAGAATGGTATACATTACACATAAACTTGGGAAAACATACCCTTGCCAACGTTCTTTCTCCAAATATATCTCCTTTGTAAACCCCTAAAATACAAAAAAGAACCAACTTTCAAATTGCCAACTCATGTGTAGAGAGTGGATGCCAAATCAAAGGGATGAGAAAGTGAAACACTACTACACTAGCACTGTGAGAAGTCAATCCCCACAATTACAGAAAAATGTCAAGGAAAATTCTTATTGAAAGACATATGGAGTGTCATTCAACAATAACACATATAGTCATATAGGGCTTTCAATGTACTCAGATTTACTATGACATTGTTGCTGACCAAGTGAAAACATAGGTAACACTAGTTTGAACTTAAATTGGATTTTCCATTCATAGGGAGATCCTATCACCAAAATGGCATTATGATTAAAAGGACCAATAATAGAATAACACAAGATAATATCCCGGGTTACATATATAATTATATCAATGTTAACATTCTTCTATAAGTTTCTTATGATAGCACAGTTGACATCTTTACTTTTGGATGATTTGGCAAAATACACATGAGTGGGAGTATATGAATGACTTGTGGTAAAATACAAATAAAAATTGTACATAAGAGTTTGAGTAGATTGGAAATATTCATATTTTTCCCAAATGGAATTTATGCTGAAATTGACATGGGGATTCCCTAATCCCTATTAATCAATAGTACCAAAAAAGAATATAGACATTTGCAGCACCTGTTTGACAAAGTAACCAACAGCATTATTGTCAGCATATGTGAGAAAGTGCGTTAGGCCATCATCATCACGTGCAAACTGTTTTAAGTGGTTCATAAGTCTGGTGCCATAGCCCCTAACTTGCTCATCTGCAGTAATAGCACAGAACGCTATCTCCCCAAACTTCTGGCTACAGCATCCAATGGAAAGAATCGGTAAGAAAGATCTCAAAGGAATACAAACAAATATCCTCACAAACTCAACATATTAAACTTCCTATTCTTGATTTCTTTTAAGGGGTGTCTGGTTCATGGAATGTTAGATTGATGGGAATGTCAAATTCTTGAATTTGGGTGAAGAGAAAGCTCTTCAACCAGATCAGAGGTCTAGACAAAGAGTCCCTTCGTCTACATCTTCGTCAAGGGGCTGATGAAGAGATTTTTCTCTTCTTCAAACCTCTAGAAGAAGGGGTGAAGAGAAGATGGTAGCATTTCCAAATTCCATCAGGATTTGACAGCGGAGTTTCGGCTGGTGGTGTTCCTAGCATTGCCATTTTTCAGATTTGCAATCTTCTTCATTAAAGAAGAGGAATTAAAAATAAAAATAATATTAATAGTCAACATGGAAATAAGCCTCAATTTTAATACAGAAATCTGAGTTGGGATTTACTAGAATTTAACTGGCAAAAAAAGGTTAAAAAAAGAGCCATTGTATTTTTTTTTTTTTTCAAGTTCAAGCTTTTATTTGAGTTTGAGCGCCCTTGTACTTTTCTTAAAAGTTCAGAGGGTTATCTGACCCTTCCTCCCCCCAAAAAAAGGACACAAATACTGTAATTTTATACTCTAAAAAGAATAAGCAAATATTGTACCTTACATAAGGACGGTATGTTATTCCACCAACCACCAGATTACGTCTAATGACCATCACAGATTTATGATTTCTGCATCCGATATCAGTGCAAAGTTATTTAAAAACAAAAACAAAAAAAACAAAAAACAAAAAAAAAAACAAAAAACAAAAAAAACAAAAAAAAACATTGAAAACATCAATAAACTATTAGGTGGATGCTAGAGCTATAGGAAGGCACAACCAGCATAAAGAGACAAACTACTGGCTCCAAACAAGGAGTCAACCATATGTCATTAACTTCAGATACCATGCTATCTAATTCTACAGTGACTACAATATGACAAACTTTGTAAAGCTCTTAATCATCCAAATTTTTGCAGGGTTAAAATTTGGAAGGTAGATACTGGCATGCAAACTGAACTTAAATGACCTCTTCCCAATTGGGTAGTAAGTTTGAACCAAGGGTATTTTTCCAGATATGCATTCACATATGAATCCAAATTCCACTTTAACAGTAAGGTACTGTGTGACACTGTAAATTTTTTTTCCCACATTCCTATAAGCCATAATGTATTCTTGTCTACCTAATTGAAAAGCAAAAAAGCAGTGGGAATGTGGGATCCCAAGAATTATTCCTATATTTTATTATTTTTATTTAAGATAATTGTCTAACAGAGAATCATACAACAATTGAACACCTACTTGTAGATTTTATACCAGATGAACCTCAAGGACACCCCAAAATTAAGAACCATCCATCCACATTCAAACAGATAGACCAAGGTCTCACGACATTGAAAAAGATGCAGAAATTCAAACACATTGAGAAACATTCATTGAACATACCTGTCCATTACAAGACGAACTATGTATTCCTTAGGCATGTTAGGTAATTGCCTGGCAAATATGTTCTTCAATCCTATCAACCTGAAGAAAGCCAATATATTACACTCCTTGAGATCTATTAGAGTGGAATCCCAATATACTACAATCCTTAGGCAGTAAAGGTTTTGAGCCTTTTCTCTTATTTCATTAGGCTAATTTTGTATGCAGTAAAAATTACATATCTAACCTTTTACAATCCTCGTCAGACAAATACAAAAGTTTATGTTTAAAATAAAATCAGAAATATCATATACCAAACCATGTGCTCATCGATACCATCATTTGAAACACATACAAACTTGAGTCTTCCTGCTTCCTCCTGCAAATATTTTGAAAAATTATTGCTGACAATAGCTACAGTGATAAGAAAGCTCTAAACACTAACAATGTAGTTACTGGCATTATCTTTAGAAAAAACAAAAGTTAACCGATTGCAATCAGAACTAAGAATACCTACCTTAACATATTTGACATTCTTTTCCTATCATTCTATCAAGAAATATCAGAAGAAGCAATTACACATCTTACATTTATAATGCACCATAGATTGATTGATGAAAGACGTACATTTCCTCACCCATTCAACCACATAGGTGGTCGGGTCTGACACTAATTAAGGGATTAACATGAGATTGCTTTACCATAAAGCATGAACATACAGATTTATCTTCTTGTTTTTTTTTTCTCCTAATACTGCTTAGTACTATTGTAGCAAAGCAGAATAGTAGAGAAGCTATTAAGAGTAATCAAGATAAAACCAACTGCATAAACTGACTCTATGTAGGAGGTTCCAAGGTTCAATCCTCATTCCTCTATGATATAACAAAAAGAAGAAAGACAGAAAGACAAAATTCACTTAGCAATGTAAGAATTTGTTTCATTTATTGAAAATTGCAAAGAAAGAAAAAGCAGTAGAGTATTAATTATTGAAGAGCCTGAAAAGAAAGCAAAATAGAAAACAATGAGTTACCCTTACCTCTCTCTTTAAGCTCTCTTCCCTTGCAATGTAAGCCCCACTTGTCTGTAAGTTTTCAGTAAAAATATTCTTCATAGTTTCATCCTTGACCACGACACCTGAAACAGAAGCAGCAGGTGGTGGAGCCCCGGAATTAGCGGAACCACCACTTCCGGTGTCTTTTGCCACCTGAACAGGCTCAACTTTCACAGAATTCTCCGTCTTGAGCTTAGTATTCCTAGCTAATGGCGCCACGCTGTTCTCCAACCGTGAGGCCGTGAAAGTGCGCATTGAAGAATCATCATACTCCTCCTCATCGTCGTCGGCGACTTCCTCGGATTCGTCTTCGGAGTCGGAGTCAGCGCCCCGAGCGCTGATGCTCTCCAAGTCATCATTGGAGGTCAGCGCACCGTCACGTGCGTCAGACGCGCGCTTGCGCTTGTGGATAGATGACGTCGCGGAGGCCGACGCGGAGTGTGACGGCGATGGAGACTGTGAGCTCCTTGAACGGAGTGGCGCTGTTAGGTGGGAAGAATGCGTGTCCATACCAGACTAGCTGTGCCTAGCTTCCGATTCAAAAATCAACTTGCAAATTAGGGTTTTGCCTTTCGGGTAGATTTAGATTCAGAAAGAAGGAAATGGTGATACTTCAGACAGTGGTGACCGGAAGGAGGTCAATGCCGCGACAATCAGTCGCTCATCTCATCAGATCAGAGACCGTTGCCGTTTTATATTAACCAACTAACTATTTGGGGAGTTTTTCAATTTTTGTCTCGTGATTATTAGATTATTTTCACATTGAATTGTAAGTGTATACTGCGTATTTCTTCTAGGGTATGCTTGAAAAGAGTAAAAATGACTTCTAAAAAATATTTTTTGAAAAATAAGTTATTTTTTAAAAAATATTTTCCTTTCCAGTGTTTGGCTGCACAATGAAAAACTGCATTTATAGGTTTGGTTCATTTTTCAGAAAAAAGAATGAAAAAATAATTAAAATTGTATATTTCAATTATTTTTATTTTTTTATTATTTATACTTTTTATATTATTTCATAAGTTCATTTTATGTTTTGTTGTGTTCTTTCTCCCCAAAATTTTATGCTCTACTGTGTTCTTCTTTTTCAAAATTTTCTACTCTATTGTGTTCTTCCTTGGCTTACAATTTAGAAAAATATATAGTATTTCAGTCAAAATAAATAAGCACATGAACCCAAAACAACCACCTTCATTTCTATGCAAATCAAAAGAATTGATTTCACAAATAAATAAAAAATATTGAGCGATACAAAATATATATATATATATATATATATATATATATATATATATATATATATATATATATATATATATATTATAATAATAATAATAATAATAATAATAATAATAATAAATTACAAACATCCTCCCAGTTGCGACTTGCGAGTGGTTTTCGCATCGGAAACCTCTCTAGTTTCCGACCGCGCTGGTCACTGGTTCCAACTGCGGAAACCAGTCCAGTGATTTGGTCCAGAGCCTTTGGTTTCGATGCGGAAATCAGTGATGATGAGGTCTTCGGTGAGGCTTTTCTGGTGATGAATTTTTTGGTGGAGTTTGTTCTCATGTTGATGGAAGTTGGAGCTTGCAGATGGAGGCTGGAGATTGCAAGCCTTGGAACGTCTGATGAAGATGGAAAATGACTTTTTTTTTTAAAAAAAAAAAGAAGTCATTTTTCAAAAAAATTAGAGATTTTCCATTGACTTTGAGTTGTTTTTCTTTGATTTCCATTTTCATTGCCTAGCCAAACACCAAAAATTCGAAAAATGATTTCCATAAATCATTTTTCAGGTTTCCAAACACACCCTAAGTTTATAGTGTGTCTGAATTAATTTATAGTGTGTCTGAATTAGTTTATAATGTGTTTTTCTTCTAAGTTATAGTGTGTCTGAATTATAAGTTTATACTGTGTTTTTTTTCTAAGTTGTCTTTCTTCTGAGTAATCATGTATCCATATTCGTCCCTTTAATTATTTTTAAAGTATCAATTTTTTCTCATTAAATAGACATTTTTATCCTTAGCAACCAAATTAAAGCAATAAGCAATAGAATTGTCCCGATTCAGAACTAGAAAAAAAAATAAAATAAAATAATTATTAAATTTAGATTATTTTAAAATAAAAAATAAAATTTACAAAAATAAACATTCAAACCAAATGGCTTGTAGCCCATTGGTATCGGATTGCTCTCCTAAGTGGGGGTGTAAAGTTCAAATCTTATTTGAGGCAAATAGTGTGTATATGTAGGGTATCCCCTTCCAATAATAATAAAAATTGTGAACATTCAGTAGTGTATATAAATTGTACAATTTTAAATTTGGATCCATCTTGGATCCACATAATAATTTGCCACATTGTAGTAGGTACACATAATTTTCTGGTCCAAAAAATGTTTTGTTCTGTCCAAAATATAAAGTGAACCCTTGGCTGAGAAAGGAGAAAAATATACAATACTAACCAGAAGAGGATAAACACTAAATAAAATCAAACAATGGGTTATTAAGATGAATCAATATTATTGAGGTCACACACCAAAATGTCAGAATTACACAACCCCTATTACTACTAGTGATTGTATTGCATTAACACTTAGTACCCTTACATTAAAAGGTGAAGGGCATTACTTGATCAAGACATACTTAGGCCAAGACATATAATACTTGGACTGCGTTCTATAGTGCCCCAAATACCAAAACCCAGGGGCAGAAAACAAGAAAAAAAAAATATATTGTTAGTATACTAAAACACAGACCATTGAATTGAAGCTCCAAAACTTCAAGCCTTCTCTTCAATCAAAGAAGATAAACCAGTCATTTTCTTCCCTCCATTCACTTTAGTCTCCCGTGCTTCTTCACCTACACCCATCTCCTTATCATCATCATCTTCACCACAAGATTTGGACTTAGAAGTTCCCTCTCCAAACATCAGCACCTCAAACTCACTGCAACTCTCATCATCTTCCTTCCTACTACTCGGCTTCGGCTTTCCCACTTTCAAGTTAGCTTCACACAAACACACACTCTCCTCCTCCTCCACCTTCAAACAAGTCTCTGCCTTTGAAGATGTCAAATCAATTCTAGTGTAGGGAGAGAACCATTTGGCCTTGACATACTCAGCTTGCCTCCATGGTGGAACAGGCATACCTTTCTTCTTCAAACTTTGCTTAGCTGCCTCAGATACTATAGAAATGATCTTTTGCAGGCGATCGCATTTACCCACAAAAATGTTGGGCAATGCTTGAAGAACTGACTTGTAAGTCTTTGTGGACCTAGCTATTTCAAACTCTGATCTGAACTCGATGTCGATTACCAATCGTTCTCCTTGAATTACCACATCAATGTATTCATAATCACCTGCAAATTCAATTCATATCTTCACAGCTGTACATTTTAATGAAGCATGCCTGCCTAACACAATCAATTCCCCAAAAAAATCCAATTTCAGTGTTAAGACTTAAGAGGGTAAAAATTACCAGCAGGTATACAAGCAGATTTCTCCCATCTAGATTGACAGATTGAAGCATCGTATCCAAGAGCTATGAGGCCATCCACTATGATCATCCGGCAGACATGATCCTTTCGCTTGCAAATCTTGTTCTTCTCAATGATCTTAGTTGTGTCTGCCAAGAGGTTTCTCTCTGATACAACCACACAAGCCACCAAACTCTGTTGCATAAAAAGAAATGTTTTAGTGATAAGCAAGGCTCTTAAACTGATTCACAAGCGAAGCGCAGAATACTATATTCATGTAAATTACTTTCAGAATTTCACATGCATCCGCAGAGGAGGAGGAGGAGTTATTGCTCGATTCACCGAAGCAATTGCATGAATCGGCAGCATCTTCCTCAGAGTCCGTACAGTTCCTGTTGAGGCAATAGCATCGGTTATGCTTCTCCTCACTTTCCTCGATGAAATTCTGAACCATCTTAGCCAAGCAAACGGAGCAGGGTTCATCCGAGGCATCTTTGTTGCAGCTCGGCTCCTCACCGCCGGCCGGCTTCTCCGCCGACAGAGTCCTCAGAAGGGCAGGAAATTGCTTCTCGAAAAGCCGCTTGAACCGCGACTTCGCCACAGGCTTAACCGGAGACGGTTGTTTAGGTGAGGTGAAATCTATAGGCTGAATCCTCATGGAACCACCAATGTAAAATCACTTGTAATATTTCATTCCCTCCACTCCATCGGAGCCGAAGCTTACTCAAATTACCCCCAAATATTTACTTCTACCTAGCTAATTTCTATTCTAGAGCAAGAAATTACTAATAATTCTTTTTAAAACCTAAAAAGCAGTGGTATATCTATGATCTTCGAAAGCAAATATACCTTTATCCGGCGGAATACCGGTGTTCTAAGCTAGGAATAACTTGGAGTCTGAGTTGAGAGAAACACCGTCGTCCTTTGTTTAGGGTTTAGAAAGAAGATGAGGCTAGACGAGAGGAGGTCACCGATTTCGCAGCCGCCGAAGAGATGTACGATCCTTCGACGGAGTATCCATATCTCCGGCGACAGAATCGATTTGCCGATAAGGAATATCGACTTCTCACCTACTTTCAGAGTTTCAGATAGAGAATTGGTAAACAGATAATATCTATCTGAACAGTGAGAGAGAGTTTTAGCGGTGGTTGGACAGTTGTTATGAAAACCGGACGGCAAGGCAAAGCGAACCAGGAAATGATCGATAATTTAAAGATAGGAAAAAGAGGGAGGAGAATTAATTTAATTTTAATTTAAATAATAATAATAATAAATAAATAAATAAAAGATAGGGAAAATGGCGACTTGGAGAAGCGGCGACACGTTAGCGGATGTGACCTGACTAGGGGCACGTGTCGGCTTCTGAGATGCATTGTTGTGGAGATCTCGCACGTAGACGACGCCACGTGCTGGGATGACGGATGAAATATTGAAATGCCGAAAGTACCCAAAGTCCTAGGCAGGGGACACGCCTTTTTTTCAAAAATTTCTCTGCTTCACTCAGGTGAGATTTTGGATAATTATGTTTGAAGAAGAAACTTAGATTAAGGTTCAGTTTGGAAAATAGGAAAATGAGTCATTTTTAAAAAAATATTTATTTTATAATGTTTGGTTGTATTTTGAAAAATTTGTGTTTTAACTTATTTTTTGAAGAAATAAGTAGAATTGTACGTTTAAACATTTTTGTGGAAAATGACTTCCCCAAATTTTACCGAAAGTTATTTATAAAAGAAATTATAATACTTTTGATAAAAACTATAATATTATTATTACATTTTTGTTACACTTTTCTTAACGAACACTTTATTCCTTATTAATATTACATTTTTTAATATAAGTATTACATTTTAATATTGATCAGATCCAATCACACCTGCCTTATAGATACTTATTCGTGAGACAATTTCACACAAGTGTAAAACTTTTGAAATAATTCAATTTGGTTAATCCAGGAAAGTGATGAATTTTTAGTGTGCATTGTGGGTTGAAGTAGAAAAGTATCCATCCATACGTTAGCAATCTTATGCATTGATTGCAAGAAAAAGAAAGGCCTAAACAAAAACGTAACAAACTAGGGTTGTTTGATTGGACGTAGTTACAATTCAATTACAATTTAATTCTTTGGAACTAATATAAATTATAATATTTGATTGGAGGAAATTGTAATTTTATCGAATTACAATTTAATGAAGAATAGAAAGGGAAAAGGGAGGAAAAAGACTTTCTTACCCTTGATAATTATTATTATACAAAGACATTTTAGTCTTTATACCACTTATTCCCTTCTCATCCTCAATAATTCTATTCATTTCTACCAAACAATGTATTTGAATTCATACTTTATTTTTCCAATTACAATTCTTTTTCCCTTATAATTCTCGGAGGTTGAGGTTGGTTGGTAGATAAGGTCATAGGAATGGATTAGGAGGGTGTAATGGTCATTTGGCGTTGGGCATTGATTGTAGTGTTGAAATGTCAATATCGCATGAGTGAAGAAAAGTAAGAGGTGATTTTAACAGTGTAACCGTAGTTTTTTTTTTTTTTTCGAAATAAACAGTGCAACTGTAGTTAAGTTGGTCAAACAAATAATTTGGTAGTATAAAATTTTAAATTTAATCTTTTATGAAAATTGTTTATTGATATTTTTTATTTGAGCATGTCCATCAATTATAAATAATTTATGATGATTTATTTTATTATAACTTTTTATTAATTAGTGTTAGAAGGTGAGTTTTACCTAGGATACATATTTAAATAGTGACTATGGGTTCTTTAATTAATAAATTAAAAAAAAAAAAAAAAGTAAGAGGAATTGGACAAATTGCAAAAGCAGTAAAGTGTTGAAATCAATTTGGTTTACTTTATTTATTTTTATGTGAAAAAATAAAGGTTAAAGTAACTTGAGACCGAAGAAACCTACAAATTCAAAGCCTGTTTTGGGAATGTTGAATTTTGTGTGCATCAAAGACTTTGGTAAAGACCCACTTGCGTTTAAGGTCATCTTGTATTTTCTCCGCATATTTTATTTTTACGTTATGTTTGTGTGACGAAAATAAAAAGAAAAAAGAGGAAGATAAATAATAAATTAGAAACCTGCAATGCTTTGATGTGTTTTATTTTTTGTTCATATCCAACAATATTTGTAACTATATTTCTTAGGTAATTTATTTATTTATTTTTAAATTATTTCTTTTGTTTTAATATTTCGCCTTTACTAGAAAAAATTTCTGAATCTGTCAGTACTGTTTTGCCCCCCACCCCCCTCCTCAACCAAATTTCTGGCTCCGTCCCTGTACTTCCCCAAACACAATTGAAGAAACACACTAGAATCCTAACATGTCTTAACAACTCTTCTAGTGAAATTTAACCATCAGTTCTCTCCAATATATGCATTTAGGTTTAATATAGAACACAAAAGAAGAGAATGTGATCAAAGAATGCCATTTTAGCTAGTCCAAACTTACACAATATGGCATCATGGTGATAAGTTGAGAGATCGTTTTATACCTCGAAGGGCACCCCACATGAAAGTCGAAACGACGAATAGTATCACTCCAGTTATAATCGCATACTTGAGCCCGAGGTTTACCAGCAAGTTTACGAGGAGCCCAGCCAAGACGACACCTACAAAGTTGGCTGAAACCGCAGACCAGAATGGCATTTCAAGGACCGAAGCGATAATAGCTCCCGTCCAAGCTCCAGTTCCTGGGAATGGTACGGCCACAAACAGCATCAGACCAAGCCATCGAAATTCCTCCACGGGACCAGCCTTCTTCTTTGCCCAATCCAAAAACATTCCCAGAAACCGAGAGGCTGGCTCGTTGTTCTGAACCAGGAAATTCGCAAATCTCTTCAAGTAAAGCACAATGAAAGGCACTGGAACCATGTTCCTACGATGGCAACATCAACACTTACTCATTATAAGTCGAACCTAAATCATAGTAACAGCTCCCTAATATACACATTATTAGCACCGAAACAAAAAGATACCACTGCTCTACTCATAAACACCAATCCCTAACTACTAATTCTGGCCTTTCAAGTGCTGGTTTCACAGAGTAAATCTTTGGAACTTTAAGTCTGGTATTTTCAGAATAAATCTGAGCCCATAATCTATCACACTATACTACACAAAGGGATTAATTGAGAATGCTCAACCAAACATAGATTCACATAGAACAAGCACATTTCACTTTAAAACACCTGATAATCAAAGAATTGTAGAAATTATTTATTGGGCTCAAAACTGTTAGAATCAAGCACTTACCACTACGCCAAAAGCTATAGCTCATACAAAGGCATAGGGTGTTGGACTTGACCCTTCAGGCCTCTGCCCAACAATTCCCCATTGGAATCAAACGCTTACCACTAAGCAAAAGTTATAGCTCGTAACGAAGGCGCAAGGTGCTGGTCTTGACCCTTCAGGCCTCCGCCAAACAATCCCTTAACCACCAAGCGCTGGCCACTATACCAAAAGCTATAACTCGTAACAAAGAGGCAACTTTATTTCCTTATACCCCTATATTTTTGAAAGAAGGGACTTGGCCTTAAGGCCTCCCCCAACAATTCCCTAGCCACTAAGGTGCTGGAGTTGACCCTTCTTCGGCCTCCGCCCAACAAGAACATATTTGCAAGGTGCTGGACTTGACCCTTCAGGCCTCGCCCAGGATCAAGCACTGCTGATCACTACGCCAAAAGCCATAGCTCGTAGCAAAGAAACAATTTTATTTCCTTATACCGCTATATTTTCGTTCGAAAGAGCAGGTTGCTGGACTTGGCCCTTCATCGGCCTCCGCCCAACAAGAACATATTTGCAAGGTGTTTATCACGTTCTAATTGAACACTCATGGGGCATTTAGATTACTGAAAGAATTGGGCAATGTGAGACTAACCCTAGAACAGACAACACAGTGAGGGACAAAGGCTTCAGCTGCAACCAATAACCCACAGGAATTGCCCCACGAAGCTCAAGAACAGGCAATGTAGCCAAGGCAAATACAACAATCTCATCTCGCCACCCCAAACTCCTCAAAGCAGTAGCCACCTTCACACCAAACCCCGAAGCTTTGATAGAATCAGCCGCAGCGGAAGCCTTAGCATCCCCAGAAACTGCAAACAAACATATCGATACAGAAGCCCAGAACAACGCCCAGAGCAGGGATTTCGCCGGCTTCTCCTCCTTTTCAATCGCTTCAATCAAATCATCCGGGGACGCTCTTGGAACTAACAATTTGGGAAATTTTGAGGTCTTGGGGTTAGCAAATTCACGAAATGTAGCGAAATACTTGGACTTCAAGTGAAATTGTCCCTTCTTAACCGGAAAAAAGCTAATTTTGGGGAATGGTAGTTTGGGTTTAGAGCTTCCATGGATGACATTCAAGAACGCCGGCGAGTGTGATAAAGAAGTGGCCATTTGGTGAAAACAAGAATAGGATATTCAAGAAATGGGAAATAAAGCTTACATTTTTAACTACTCTCTTGTACGAAATCTTAGGTTATATCGGTTATCCTTGGAAGACTGAGAAGTCATTTGCTTCCATTAGAAATATACAAACAAAATATAGGGAGGATAAGCCGAGGAGATGTTTCCACTTTCCAGTTCTTGAAAAGGTTCTAAGAAGCTTATAATTTATTAATCTTATTTTAAATTAAGAAAAATGACGAGTTTGGTCCCAGAATTATAATGATAGTGACGATTCAGTCCCTGAATTATGACCGTACTCATTTATAGTCTCTCAGTTATAAGTGAAGTGGTGTATTTAGTCCCTGACCTTTAAAACAGATGGAAAATTTTAAAATTATTTAAAATTTTAAGATTAAAGTAGGAAATTCATATTTTATTCACTTTCTTATATTAAAACTACTTCAAAGGAGGAAACGAATTGTAATTCAGTGGGAAAAAAATAAAGTGAGAATTTAAATTACATTGTTTGGTAGGAAAGAATAGGGTGATGGGGAATTGAGAAGGGAGAAGTAAATAAATACTAAAATACCTTTATATAATATTAATATAATAATAATAATGAGGGTAAATTGATAATTTATAATGTGATTGCAATTTCACAAAGTATGAAATTGCAATTCTTAGAGTGGAGGTCTGAATTGTAATTCAACAAAAAAAAAAAAAAAGAAATTATAATTCAGCGAAATTATAATTCCCTCCAACCAAAGAATGTAATTTCAACTTTCATTAAATTTTAATTTTTTTACAACCAAACTACATGGTATCAAACAGGCCATTAATGCTATTCGAAAAGTATTGTACTTTGAGGTAACATACATACGAACATGTATGATTTCTGATTGGTAGGAAGTAAACAATGGAAGAAAACGAAAGATTCGAAGAAGAAGAAGAAGAAGAGATATGGAGTTGGGGAGCAGGCACAGAGGGTCAGCTGGGAACGGGGATACTCTCCGACGAGCACTGCCCTCAGCTCCTCCGTTCTCTCTCCTCCTTCGCTCCTATCTCTCTCCTCGCCTGCGGCGGCGCTCATGTCCTCGCCCTTACCTCAGGTCTCTCTTCCCCTTCTTCTATCCACATCCATGCCCACCATTTATATATCAATTATTCATCAGTTTCATGTATTTGTGTCACCTTTCATCGTTTTCTTGGTTACCCAAAATTCAATTTTTGAAATTGAAACTACTCTGCTGTTGTATAGAGGTGCAATTATATCAAGAATTGAAACTGGAAAACGAGTTTCAGAAAAATTAAATAATAGATAATGATCAAGATTGTACTAAATAGTTAAAGTATAAGATTGCAGAACAAATGTGTGTTGAAACTGATGTGGTAAAAACCCTTATAGTAGACCAATGTTGCAGAAGGCGCTAGGCGTTAGGCGTTAGTCGGCGCCTAGGCAGCCTAGTAATCCGAGGGTTAGCAGTTGTAAGACTGTTATAATCCTCAAACTAGTCAATAGATGGTTAGTTGAGTACATGGCTGGAGAAATATAGAAGAGGAGTAGACGAGTAGGCAAATAAAAAACCATTCGGCTGAGTTAGGCGCTCGACTAGGCCAAGTCGGCACCTAGGGTTAGTCGATCAACCGACTAAAAGCTGCCTATGGCTGAAATCGCCTCGGCCAAGTCGGCACCTAGGATTAGTCGATCAACCGACTAAAAGCTGCCTATGGCTGAAATCGCCTCGGCCTAAGGGCACCTAGTCGGTGCCTAGGCAGCCGCCTTGGCCGATTTTTACAACACTATAGTAGACACGGGACATAAAGAAAAGAACATAAAAGAGCAAAAGGGATATATATTATAGATGATTATACTTTAAACTCTGTCTTATTCTTGTCATTACAAAGTTTGTCCAAAAGCCCTTTATATAGGTGTATAAGGCACTATAAAGTAGGACCAAAGCACAAAATTAAGATCCTTGTAAGATGGTAGGATCTAGAGCAGATGAAATATTCAACAGTAAATAAATTAAAATAACCATAATTATGTTGGTCCAACAAGATCGAGTTGAACTCCAAAAACGACAATATTAGAATTTGAATCCCGATTGTTGGCGCGTTGCAGGTGGAAGAGTGGTGACATGGGGTCGGGGTACTTCTGGGCAATTAGGCCACGGGGAAGCTGTTAACAATTTGCAGCCTAAGGCTATAGAGGCTTTGGGAGGCTTTGTTATAACACACGTTTCTGCTGGTTGGAATCACTCCGGTTTTGTTTCAGGTATCTTTTATCTCACCTTCACCTTATCAATGTGAGCATATAGCCATTAATGTGCAATCTAACTGTTAGCTTAGGCTTTTAGTTGAGATAGAGCACATGCTTCAATTATCAAACTTTTAACTCTTTCTGTGCTTTTTCACTGCGTCATTTCATTGTGCTATTTTTACTTTTCCAAGTTTGAGAAGTTTTATGTTTTGTTCTATTTGATCTATGACTAGAAAACGTGCTTATAACTTGCTTTTGGATTTCAATTTGGTTTGTTGCTAGATAACGGTCACCTTTTCACTTGCGGTGATGGTGCATTTGGACAGCTTGGTCTTGGGGATTATTTATCGCGATCTTCTCCCGTAGAAGTATCATATTTGAGCGCTAAACATGTCAAGCAAATCGCTTGTGGCATGCGCCATTCACTTGCTTTGATCAAAGGTATAATTGTGTCGATATAAAAATGGGCTTTGAGGAAGGGTTCTTATTTCAATTCAACAACAATTAGCTTCATGAACTGAAAACGGTTAATCCAGGTGATTTGGGAGATCGAGTTTTTGGATTTGGGTCTGGAAAGCGTGGCCAACTGGGTATATCTGATGATAAAGTAAAATCGGTAGCCATTCCTCAAGCCACTTTGGGCTTGGAAAACCTTAAAATCGACGCCATTATTGCAAACGGAGACCATAGTGCAGCAATTTGTGGTAAGTTTCTATGGTGCAAATTTTAGTCTCGGCTGTAATGTAATCCTCCCTAGTTGGCGTTAACCTTATGCAACTCTCCGTGCTTTTTTGTTTATTTCCATCGTGTAAGCTGATGGACATTTGTACACGTGGGGAAGAAGCTTTGGGAGTGACTCGGATATGTATACGCCCAGGTGTGTCACAATGAGGTCATCGTTCAGCAGTGCTGCTCTAGGATGGAATCATGCTCTAGCATTAACAGGTACCTGATACAAAAGTCATGGGTTCGAATATCTGTGTCGGTCCACGTGTTGCTGGGAGCCCGTCAAATCGGCTTGCACACGTGAGGACTGAGGAGGTGTTAAATGTGCAATCCAACTACCAGCTTAGGCTTTTAGTTGAGATGGAGCACATGCTTCAATTAATTTAACCTTCTATTGTGTTAATATGAGGAAAGAAGTAAGAGATGTTGTACTATTACATGTTCATAACGGGCTTGTATTTATTTATTTTAAATTTTTAATAAATAATGTACAGGTGACGGGGAAGTGTTCATGATAGGTGGCTACAACTATGGTGTTTCTAGTGGTCGGAAAAACCAGTTGATTAAGCAAACATCTGAAGATGCAGGTTCATGGCCTTCACATGATAATATTTCTTTCCACTCGGGTTATTGCTATCTGTTGATGAATCTTTCCCGTACTTCAATAGGAAGAAAACCAAAAACTACCTCTGTTTTCTGTTGTTAATCTATCGGTATTGTTAAGAGTCCCACTTTGAAATTATTAAGAGAGAACATATGGGTTTATAAGGCCATGGGTTAGACTAGCTAATTGATTGGATTCAGTCTTTTAGTGTGGTTTGGTCCATGTGCATTATCGCCTAGTTGAGTGACCTTGGTATTGGTGGCGTCCAAAGCTTTTGTTCCAATTTCAAGTGATCAAACCACATGTTTTCTTACGTTTGTTTATATGTGCAGGAAATGGAGAGATTGTGAAAAAGATTGATGCTCTTGATGGGATAAAGGTTCTTCAAATTTCAGCTGGAGCTGAACACTCGGCCTTGGTAACAGGCAAGTATCTTACACGATTTGAGAATGAAAAAGACATTTCTCTACTTTTTATAAATCCAACGTGTTGTTTATTAGCGTATCATTTGACCTATGTAGACGATGGATTGGTAATGACATGGGGATGGGGTGAGCACGGTCAACTTGGCTTTGGAGATACAAATGATCAAACCAGTCCCCGAGTTGTGAGTTTGAGTCACGAGCATGCTAAGAAGCCATCTATCGCTAAAGTTTACTGTGGCAGCGGCTTCACCTTTGTTGTGAAGAAGCATGCTGGGTAAATTATCAGAATTAAATTACTGCATAGTTACTGGATTCTTAAGCTTTTAGACCACTGTGCATACAATCTTGGGTTCTTGGTGAGGTGCCTTTTAGTGTATTCTGTTTTTTACTTTTATACATCAGAAGCAGTATTGTTTTGCCTCATAAGTTCTTGTACTAGTTGTAGTGTTTGTATACCAAAATGGTTCCATTTTGGTGTTGTAAATTGATGGTGAATGCCATGATAAATTGATGAGTTCCATTAAAGTAGAGTTGATTGCATATTTGGTCCTGGGAAGTGGGGACCAATACCATAAAAATATGCCTCAAATGGACCATTGTGAGCAAAAGTCTACAGGCAAGGAGTGGAAACCTATAGACTGAGAAGGCGACTCGCGGTTTACTTCCTCTAGCGACTCTTGAACAGGGGTTTGGGTTTTGACTTTTGAGAACTTAGGATTAGTCTGACGTAAGCTGGGAAAACTAATGTATATATATATAAAAAAAAAAAGTTAATAACTAAAATGGTCTCTCGACTATGCCATAATTATCAATTTGGTCATTGACTACCATTCTTACTCAATTAAGTCCTCAACTATTCAATTTTTACCCAATTTAGTCTTCTGTTAATTTGACAGTTTGTTGACTGTCAAAAGTGTAGATAAAATTGTAATGTTAATTTGACTGTTTGTTGACTGTCAAAAGTGTAGATAAAATTGTAATTTTACAAGCTTTCTCCTTCCTCCCCATTTAGCAGCGCTAATTCCGCCAAATCATGCAGCAATACGCTCTGACGTCAAATAATCGTTGGAAATCAAATCCTTAGGCTCTCCGAGGCACAACCGCTGATTCGACACTAACAAGTTTGGAAGCCGACCGGAGCTTATTGCTGCATGGTTTGGCGTTGCTAAATGAGGATGAAGGAGAAATCTTGTAAAATTACAACTTTATCTCCACTTTTGACAGTTACCAAACAGTCAAATTAACAAAAGACTAAATTGGGTAAAGGACCAAATTGGTAATTACGGCATAGTCAAGGGACCATTTTGGTTATTAACTCAAAAAAAAAAAAAAAAAAAAAAAAGTCTCAAATGACAAAGTGTCACAGTTTCAATACCTGAAATACCAAACATTTCATAATGTGTACTAGGTTAAATTCACTTACTCTACTAAGAATAAAATAACAACTAAAACAACAACAATAAATACTACAACTAAAAAAGCTAAATTAGAAAACTAATGTTACAATGTTTGCAGATAGTGTAGGCTGTGTAGGTAGGAGTTTCCATCAATCACATATTACTCTAAAATATATTCTGAGAATTTTTTTGCACTGAAAGTTGATCCAGTGCAAGAAGCTGCTAACCTAGTAGTAGTACATGCACATATGTACAGAAAGAATGTGATTGAAACAGCTCGTGAACTGTAGATATGTTCGTTTTACATCACCGCAGAAAGAATAGTACAAAAATTTAGTATGAAAGTTGGTATTCTGTGTGAAATCCTCATAAAAGAATCAACCATCCATCTGGATTTACTGCAATGCATGCACCTCCACTGCTGATTCAATGCCCAGAGCCTTCCAATAACGAGCTTTTATGTGATGATGAGTAGATTGTTTTCATGTCCATGGTTTTTAACGATGGGGCGTAAAGGATCGACCCTCCATTTGCCATCAACAATGAACTTGATCTGCAAATGAAATGCAATGCTCAATATGTTGAGCATATATAATATATAAACATAAATGTGCAATCCAACTGTCAGCATAGCCTTTTAGTTTAGATGGAGCACATACTCCAATTTGGTATCAGAGCCAACCGCATGCCAAAGGTCTAAAAAGAGACTATGGTCTATGTGTTGCTTGAAGCTCGTTAAAAGTGTTGAGCACATATATATAAACATCAATGTGCAATCCAACTATTAACTTAGGCTTTTAGTTGAGATGAAACACATGCTTCAATTCAATATTCACAACTCAAAAGGAGAATATATATACTGTCAAAACACAGCAGTAGAGATGATGACCTACCTCATATCTGCCGGGATACAACAGCATGGTCACAGAAAAAATACCAGCACTTGATTTCTCCATCTTCCTCTGCAACCACTTTAACTGTACTATTATGATAACAATCAAGGAATGGGATTTTTTTTTCCTTAAACAAATTATAAAGCTGATACAATATCTACCATTGAAACCCTTTAAATCTTTACTTCAGGAACGGTGTACTATATACTTGACATCGATATAACCAAATGTTTATTCTCAATTAAAGCTACATTATATTTATACAGTATTTTTAACTCAGAAAGATGGGAACCACTGAATAATCAAACCAGTTAGTTGGGCTCATCACAATGCTGATGGAGAAAAACAAAATGAAAATTCAAAGATTCACAATTAAGGAAACGAGGAAATAGAGGTGCTGTTGATAGTAGTACTAGAGGTACTTGAGGAAGAACTCTCATCAGAGGTGTTGGAGATAGTAGAACTACTCAAAGACAAATAGTTCTGGTAAAAACAAATTATCAAAAGGATTGTTTTTTTTTTTTTTAATGTAGTTCCTTATCACCAAAAATCTGCCAAATCAATAGGCATTTTATTTGCCCTGTTAATCATTGTTACCATATTATGACAGGAATAAACATTTTGCATTCCGCCGGTACATTCAAATGAAACAAACCTTGCTGCTTTTATGCTATTCTATCAAACATCCTTAAATTTTGCTTTAAACCTAGCATGCCTTAAGCAAAATGAATGACTATTAGCACAAGAAAATGGTCATCTCAATCTGTTACATCTTTGGCTACTCTAACCATCGCATAAGCACCATCAAAGAAGGGTTGGAATTCACAAGAGTTTGCACTTCAATTAAAGCAAAAACTGCTTCTTCTTCCTAATAAGTCTAGTGAAGCAAAAACAAACCTGAGATGTCCAACCGTCAAAAGAGCCTGCCAGAAGAACTTCTGAGGCTGACTTGGGCCAAACAATATGCGTAGTACGCAGAAGCTGTGTAGCTAGATAAGCACCATTAATTCTATTCTGCTTCTTTTCCATCGTCTTTTGTGCATCACTGAAAATGTACAGTATTAAAGTACTAATTAAATAAATGTATCCAGAGTACACAATGAAATTTAAGATATCATCCATACATAGTTGTCAATGTCATTTTCCCCTCAAGTACTGTTAGCTTTGCACGTATTGACCGCAATCTCATCTGGGCATGCATTAACTGATTCTCCTGGAACTCCAATGCATCAGAAAGTTTTTGCACATCACTAGGAGAGCTTCCAATAACCTGAGGAAAATATGCAGGAAATCACTTCAAAAGACTACCAGACAACTTATTTGCACGCAAGCTCTAATTTTTATTTCAAAAGATTGGTTGCCATGCATAGGCTTAAACATTTGGAACCATATTTTATTTCTTCTTTCTTCTTTCGTCCTTTAAAAGAGGCTTTCCATACAGCATGTTTGGTGCACGGAATGAAATTTGGAGAAATTGAAATCTCATCCTCCTGTCCAGAAAAGACTCAACTACAAATTTTACAGACTAACAATCCCAGAGTCTTATTCTGCCCCCCTAAAACCCATATCCGTAGAAACCAATAACCCCTACAAGTGATCCCATTGCTTCAACAAAGGGATTACTTTGCCAGTTTCCTTTAACAAAGATATCTAAACTGCTCTGGAGTTCTTTAGCTAATTGTGTTAGAAACAGAGCTTGAGCTCATTTTGTACAGTTGTAAGACTGCTTAAACAATTTGAAAGGAATATGGACACACAAGATAGATGGAATTCACAGATAGTACAAAATTCTGTATCAACTAAACCACATTCTGACTTTGCTATCAACTGATTTTATAGTCAAAGCTTACAGTTGAAAACAGGGAAATGCCAAATATCAGATATTTATTCTATAGAAACATATATTATCAACTATTAGTCTTTCTATGGAGACAATAATTTGAATAAGTAAACCGCTTGTTAACAGGAAAAAACGATTTATCAATTTGAACTCATCAACCAGTTCTATCTTCTATGGAAAAGAAGTAGGTCAAATCTGTCATGTTGACAAGCAACAATAAAGTGGTTCAGTTTAGTGCTTTATAAAGGGCACAACTTTAAGCCTAAATGCAAGCAAGAGAAGAAAGTGTCAATGTCCAATACTTGGCAAAAAGTGATATGCATCATTGACTGGGGTTATTTACCAAAGTGGAAAATTGGAGGATTTTCTGGAAAAAAAGAAAAAAAAAAAAAAAAAAACAGGAAATTGGAGAAGTGGAAATATGGAAAATGGAAAACTTGTTTACTAAAATCAATTCTTGGTGTTTTACCTCTTTTGAACTGTATTCTTCACTCTTGAACCTTATCAATTCTTGGTGTTTTACCTCTTTTGAACTGTATTCTTCACTCTTGAACCTTATTAACTGAAGCGCCGAATTAAGCTCGACTTCTAGATGCTGTATGCGAGCTCTTATGTCTTTGTGATTGACACCACTCTGTCTGTGTAAATCTCCTGTACCCTTTTCTGTCACTACAACTGAGTGTTCTATTGAAGTTCTTTTACCTTCTTGATTTTGACCAAAAGTAATCTCTGCAGCTGCACATTTTAGGTAGAATGAATGAATAAAAAAGAGAGGAACAACTGATTTATATATATTCATACCAGGTTTCAAAGGATGGTAATTAGATGAAAGGAAATAAATACGTTCAAATTCTGCATCCTGAAAGCCAGCACGTTGAATGCTCCAAGCTCTCCATGAATCTGATGCATCAGTGATGGTTTGTCCTAGATTACTCCTGCCTATTTACATCACACAAAAGTTGAAATCTTGTGTTTTAGAATTTGGTGGCGCAGATAGTCTGCATCAAATGAATGAAAAAAAAATCTGAAGTACCACAGGCGACAGGCCAACAAGTTCTCACAAAAGTGCCAGGCTCCTGAAAGCCATGCACCATAACCCTTGTAATAGTTCAACTAGTCCCAGTAAAAACTGCTGAAATGTTGAAGTTAATTATGTCCATCCGGAAAATATTATAAAATGAATTTTTTTTATTTTTTTTTTGAAGATTGTGAAATCATCATTAAACAGCATTTAACCCCATCAACTAATCGATTGTTCAAACCATTTAATTTATTCTTAGACACAACAACCACTAGCTAAGTGTAAGCAAAACTTACCCACAGCAGTGGTCATGACATTCTGATCATTTCCATCATCTCTGTTTAAAGCCCACTTTCCATTGCTAGATTTTTCTGAATTCATATCAAAAGATGATTTTCTGCGTTTCTCTAATCGCCTCAATATGCCCTCAACTCCACTATCTTCCTCTGCTCCATTTTCTCTGAGCCAAAGGGGGAACAACAGAAAGAAAATAACTCAATAAACACTAGTTACAAAATTCTTAGCAATCTAGAATACATAGCTAAGCCGTAGGAATAGAGAATAAAACCTACAAATTTATGAAGACTAATAATACTTTTCAAGTTTTTTTTTTTTTTTTTTTTTCAATTCTAGCTATAAATTAAGAGTTAATTGTCAAAGAATTATCATTAATTACAAAAAGAACATGTGAATTATTGAACAAAATTACCAAGATTTATCCAAAAAAACATTTCCCATGGCATGCATTCTTCTAATAACATGAAATATGATGAAATCAACAAGGTGGATATTAAGAATTGAGTCATGAAAACATACAAAATGATTTCAAAGTTTGATCCATCCATATACCCTGTAAACCTCAAGTTAAAGTCCTAAATAGGAAGCTGAGAGCTCACAATGATCTACCAGAAGAAGACACAGTTTCAGAAGAACCATTGACACACAGAGAGTCCTCTTCATTGTTGTGAAAAGCTCCACTATCTTGACAACTCTTGACCCTCCTTCGAAACTCCTCCATATCAAAATCAATATCAACTGCCTCAGCTTCTTCGAGACTCTCATTCTCATCATCCTCTGAGTCCCAGCCAAGCAAGAACCACCCGCCTTTCCTCCTAATAGCCTCAACCAAATCAAATCTCCCCGCTTCCTCCAACTCTTTCCTGGAAGGGAACGCCCCAGGCTTCTCGGAATTCCTCATGAACTCCAATATTCTCGCCTCCAGCTCCCCGTCCCCTTCCGCACTCGCCGACGACCCTCCACCACCACCACCACACCAACAACAACAAGAATCAACACCCCTCCTACCGCTCCGCCTCAGCTGGATAACCCCGAACACGCCCTCCTCCTGTTTCGTCGCCACAAGACTAAATACCGGGCAGCGGAGTTCCAATCCGCGGCCGAGCGCCAAGACCGAAGAAGAGGGACGAAACGAGGATTTCAATCGCGGAGGAACACAGAAATGTGTTGGGGTCCTGATGAGAGACACCATTTCTCAGGCATTTCGTCGAACACAATGAGAGCGGTGGTGGAAGAAGAGGAAGAAGAAGAAGAAGAACCGAGCAGTGAAGCAACGAACAATCCTGTACCGAAAAGCGTAGCGTGCATTAAATGCGTAAGCATGAGTTTTCGTTCTCTGATTGTTTGTTTATACTAATTTTTCTTTCAGGTATTTGTGTTGTTTACTTCATCTCAAAAAAGTAATAGTTTCCCAATTCCCATAGCAATATTGTACTTTGCCTACCGTTGCGGGTTATGGCAAGAACGGTTGGATACTTCCATTCTAAATTTCTATTTTTAATCCCACCCCATAAACCAATTAAAATACTTCACAATGAGTAGCTCAGTATCTGTTTGAAAACTCAAAGAATGACTTTCTTAAGTCATTTTCAAAAAAAAAAAATTGTGTTTGGCTATTCAAAGTAAAATATTCATTTTTGTCAATGAAAAACATATTTATTTTTGTGAAAAATGTCTTTTTAGATGTTTAGTTAGAAGATATTTTCTGAATTCTTTATTTTTTTCCATATCTTTCATCTCTCCAAGCTAGTTTATGGTATATCTCAAAAATTTCAGTATACAAAAATAATATTCAAAATTTAAAACAGTACGTATGTAAAAAAGTGTTAAGAGAGACAATTACTTATATTTATAAGAGACTTTTAACCGGACACCAAAATGATAAATATGTAATTGAATAAATTTGATAGATTTTTAATCACCCGAAAAAAGAATCATACATCCCATATAAGAAATTTACTTTCCTTTTTTTTTTTTTTTTTGATTTCCCAAGGTATCCCTATGGTCTGCGCACTAAGCGGTAGGGGACTGACCAAATGATTTGCTCCATTCACATGGGAAGGAGATTTACTTTCCTTGATATCATATAATTAGATCACCAATCGACATGAACTTTCATTAGTCAAATATTGCACCAAACGTGAGAATAAATTTCTCACCTTTTAAATTCCAACGAAAGTTTAAACTTTTCTGGTTATCAAACATCATCTTAGGAACGATAATTCAACCTGACCACCATCAGGAAAAATCAGTCCCTGCTTCGACAGGAAAAATTGATCTGTGCCCCGACGGGGACAAGGACAAGGATAAGGATAGCATCCCCCGACTCGAACCCAACCACGATTCCCGAATTATATTATATTTATAGATAATATATAATTAATTATTTATTTATATTATATAAGGTTAACACTTGTGTGAGATCGTCTCACGGATCTCAATATGTGAGACAGTTCAGATATTTGATTAATGGGTCAAATCTTTGATTAATGGACGGATCTTTGACCTCATTAATCAAAGATCCGGTCTGTCTCACAAATTGAGACCCGTGAGACGGTCTCACACAAGTTTTTGCCATTATATCAATATAAAAGTAAATTGAATGAACAAATTGTTTTGTTATGTTTGGAGTTTGGAACAATTAGAATATTTGTACATTTGGCATTTTGGTTCTTATTATTTATATTTGGATATTTTAACTCGTATACTTCAAGAAATTGTTCATTATTTTTTGTTTTTTAATTTTCCCGTTTTCATTCTTTGTTTTATATTCTTTACTTGTTTACTAACACTTATTTTTTAAATTTATTTATTTTAGACTAACGTTATAACATTAATACAAGTGTAATTTTGAGTGATGTTTAAAACTTATATTTAAAAATATTTGTTTGGATTTGTTTTATTTAAATGGAAACCACCTGACACCGGTTGGATCAAGCTCAATACTGATGGATGCAGTGGCATGAATAACAAAGCTGCATGTGGAGGAGTTTTCAGAAATGAGAAGGCCGACTTCCTAGGGGCATTCTCCAAACAAATTGGCACATGTGGTGCCATGGAGGCAGAAATTTGGGGTATATACGTTGGTTTGGAAAAGGCTTGGGAGTTGGGATATCGAAGGATAACCATTGAATCTGATTGTGCAATGGCTATCTCCATCATCAATAGCTCGGAGGATTACGATGGACAAGCAAGGAACCTCGTTCATATATGCAAAGAAGCGAAGAGAAGACAATGGGAGATTAAATTCCTCCATGTTCCACGAGAGCAGAATAGGGTCGCCGACATTTTAGCCAAACAAGCCAATGTGCAAAATGCTAATAGTAGATGGTTTATGTGCCCCCAAGAGATATTTAGAGAGCTATGCGAGATGACGAGCTCGGCCTGGTAGGAGCACGAACACAGTGAGGACCAGTCACTGATCCTGGATATTCTCCCCTTCCCGTTTAAAAAAATATATATATAATTCGAACTTTTAAATCTAATATATGTAAGATTTTTACATTTGATATACGAACCAAATTTATATTCGTATATAACATAAGTAAAAATATATATGAACCAATAACCTATTAACACTACAAGAAAAATGCACATAGACAACGATTTTTCACCGTTGTCGTAGGGGTAAATTTATGTTGTTGAAGCTAGTGTTGTTGTAAGTCTCGTGCATAGTTAACGGTTTTTAACTGTTGTCTTTTCTAGAAACAACAACGATTTTTGAACCGTTGTCATTAAGTGTTGTTGAAACCGGTGTTGTTAAATGTCACGCACATGGACAACGGTTTTTAACCGTTGCCTATTGAGTGTTGTTGAAACCGGTGTTGTTAAAAGTCACGTGCATAGACAACGGTTTTTAACCGTTGTCTTTTCTATAAAAGACAATGGCTTTTGAACCGTTGGCTATTGAGTGTTGTTGAAATCGGTGTTGTTAAAAGTCTATAAAAGACAATGGTTTTTGAACCGTTGGCTATTGAGTGTTGTTGAAATCGGTGTTGTTAAAAGTCACGCACATAGACAACGGTTTTTGAACCGTTGTCTATTGAGTGTTGTTGAAACTAGTGTTGTTAAAATTCACGCACATACAAACTTGTAGTACAATATAATATAACTAAAAATATCCAAACCAATAATATATTGAGTTCAATCAAAATTTAAAACTTTGTGTAAAGTTCAAGTTTTAATTGTGCTAATGTGAATAATGTCTAACTTTAAACGTAAGCAAATAAGTTATGTTTATATAAGTAAATGCGAGTAGAAAATATAGAAAATTGTGACAAGCAAAAGAAGATGAATGTAATCATATTTATGAATAAATATGTAAGTATATAAATAGATAATGGTGAGAATGCGGTTATAATGATATATAACCAAATAAATGATAGTTGACTCTGTTTTCTATTTAGAAAACGATAAAATTTTCCAGTTTTCAAAATGGAAAATGCTGTTATTAAACATGTTTTCTTTTTTTCTATTATCTAGTTTTCTAGTTTTTCAAAAAAATGGAGAAATTCTCTAGTTAGTAAATGGACTATTGAAGTTTTGAGATTTTTGGACATTTGGTGATTGGTATTTTGGTTAAGGGCCTAACATTTAAACAATTTTAATATTTAAGAATTGTTTGACGTTTTGAAGTATTTGGTAGTACTTCTTTTTGAGATAATTGGATGAATATTAGGTTGTCTGGGATATTTAAATATGTTGATTTACAAACTAATTATACAATTGAGGCGGGGCCCAACGCGCTGTGCTTAGATGACATGTAGTGACCTCTCCCATGTGGGAGGTCATGAGATCGAGCCGTATGTTTGAACATATACTACAATGTAATAGAGTTAGTAGCATTACGAATAATCGTCAATCACACATTGCACAATATACTAAGAAATTCATATCAAGAAGTTTTCATATCATCGAGATAACATGCATTTCAATGACATTCTTTTAGAGCTCATGATGAGTCATTAACATCAACAATTTGTGGAAACTTTTTTTTTTATAGCTATTAAGATTCATTGCCTCTTTTAAAGATGAAGTAATAAAATTTTTTGATAAAGCTCCATGAAATTCATCATATACATCACCAACAATAAAAAAGAAAATTTTGCAAGTGTTAACTAAAGTAAAAAGTGCTATTCGAAAAGAAATTAGTGATGCAAAATTTTGTGTCATTGTTGATGAAGCTCGAGATGAATCAATGAAAAAACAAAAGTCAATTGTCTTGAGATTTGTTGATAGAGATGACTTTATAAATATGGTTTTTTTTTTTTTTTTTTTTTTTTTTTTTTTGGAGTTGTTAAGGGTAAGGACACTAGTGCATCAACATTAAAAGAATGTATGCAATATCTTTTCTTTCATATCTCCTCGTAATCTTGATGTTCACAATATTTGGGGACAAGGTTATGATGGTGCAAGTAACATGCGTGGATAATGTAATGAAATGAAAGCTTTAATCTTGGATGAATATCCTTATGCTTATTATGTTCATTGTTTTACACATCGATTACAATTGTCATTAGTAGCTTCCTCAAAGGAAGTTTTCCCATCTATCAATTTTTCACCAAGTTGAACTCCATTATTAATGTTGTTGGGGCTTCATGTAAGTGCAATGACCATTTGAAAGCTGTTCATGCCACAAATAATGCTCATTTGCTTAGTATTGATGAACTTGAAAGTGTGAGGGGAAAATTATTCTTAGTCCATCGCTCATTTGAAGAGTTGAACAATATGTTTGATGATAAAGCAAATGGGTTAAATATTCTTAGTGTATCGCTATATCTAACATAGATGCGTATATCATTTATAATTGATGACATTTACAAGTTGGTAGAAAAGTTTTACCCACAAGACTTTGAAGCCATATGAGATTTTAAAATTGAGAATGCCACTTGAACATTTTGAATATGTGCAACAACTTCTTGATTTTAGAACAATAGAAAGTATTTTTGATTTATGCCAATGGTTAGTGAAAACAAAAAGATCAAACATCATCTATCCTCTTGTATTCGGAGTAATAACTCTCATCCTCACACTTTCAGTATCTATAGCTACAACATCATGAATATAGTTAGGTCATCCCCATTAGTGGTTAATGGTAAGATTTTTAAAGCAAAGTAGCTAATGTGGAAGTAACAGAAGGAAGAGAAAGAGAGTGAAGATGGAGTTTTTGCAGGAGACTAAAATTTTTTGTCTCATGCTGTGGGCCCCACATTATTTTAAAAAAAGTCGGCTAGTGCGCGTTAAGCGCACTAGCAGCGCCTAGTGGGCCCAATGGGTGCATTTTTTGTCTCATGCTGTGGGCCCCACAGTATTAAAAAAAAAGTCGACTAGTGCGTGTTAAGCGCACTAGCAGCGCCCAGTGGGCGCGTTTTTGTGTCATGCTGTGGGCCCCACAGTATTAAAAAAAAAAAGTCGGCTAATGCACGTTAAGCGCACTAGCAGGGCACAGTGGGCCCACTGGGCGCG